TTTTTTTTTGCTTGTTTCCATTCTTATCTTTACTGTTTGTGGTTAGGTGTGTGATTAACTGTTACTACAGTAATCCTAATAATAAAGAAAAAAATAAAAACTATCACTACAGCAAGAACAAGATGGTGAAAGAACGGAATATCAGTCTCATTTGTACAGTTATACTTTGATCTGATATGATGTATATCTCTTTTTTATTTATTTATTTATATTTGGAATAGCCATTCTTTGTCACATCGTATATATATTTGTTATCAAGCTTTTATTTTTTATTCCTTACGAAAGAGAAGGAAAAAGAATAACTGCGGCGGTGACAGTAATTAGTGTGAGAGAGTACAAGGGGGAAAACAAACCACAACAAAATAATAAAAGAAAAGGAAGAGTGTAAAGGATATGTTTTCTATTGCTATTCAACGATAACGGTTTTGCTTTTGCTTTTTTTTTTTTTAAAATATATTGTTTTTTCTCTATTTGAATACCTTTTACATACTTTATTTAGTTTCCTGTTTACCAATAATGATGATTATTTTTGATCAATTGATGTAACTCTCTCTCTCTCTTTCTCTTTTCCTTTTCTTATCACTCTATATTCTACTTCTTTTTTCTTTTCTTTTCTTTTTTCGTTGTTTTGTGCCTGTACACCATTTGATGATAATATAGTGGCAATCATAGTAAAAGAAAAAAAAAATAAAATAAAATAAAGGTAAACAAGTGAGTGTAACGGAAATAAAGAAAAAAAAAAAGCAAATACACACACACACATACAGAGATACACATATCTATCTATCTATATATATAGATCCATTTCATTGCAACATTGAGTGACTCTCTAGTTATCTCTCATCCGTTGCAGAATCCATTGTTAGGGGAATACCAAAAGTAAAACGAGTGGTTCTTTCTTTCTTTCTATTTTATTATTATTGAGCGTTTCTCTGCTTAAACACGAAAAGCAGTGATTGTGTTTGTTTGTGTGTGTGTGTGTGAGAGTGAGTGTGAGTGTACCTAACAAAAAGGAGGCACCACCCACCCACCAAAAAGAAGAGAAAAAAAAATAAAAACACATACGTAGAAGTCTATTGAGTATATATATATATATATATATTCCCAAAATGCCCAAACCAAGGTCCGGCACCAGCACCGCAACGGCCTCTCCCCACAGTGATGTACCCCTTCACAGTAAAAAACACGGTGATGTACCCCTTCACAGTAAAAAACAGAAAAAGCCTCCACTCTCTCTGGAGGAGGTCCGCCGTAATGGATATTATGTACAAATGTCCGTGGACGATCTCGTGGCCTACGAGTATGTGGATGCCCATCAACAATGGCAGTGGGGTCTCGCCACTGTAGCCGCCCTGCCAGGCCCGCGTCTGGTGCAACTTCTCCTCTGGCGCAGCGATGATGCCCTTCTCAACAGTGAAAATAATAATTTATTTTCCCCGGAGGAGGCGAAGGGCCGACTGGCGGCGTTGGAGGAGTCGCGGGCGGCGGTCTCGGCGGAGGCGGCGGTTCTCAACCGCACGTTGGCCGCCCAACGCGCCACGTACGCGGCGAATCGCCGGGCCGTTGAGGCCGACGCCATTTACGCGGCCCGCGTTCTCGCAGAGGCCCGACTGCGGCTGCGGGAAATTGACGCGAGTGACTGGCGGGAGATCCGGGCGTATCACAACCCGCCGGCGATGGTGGTGTTGGTGATGGAGGCGGTGCTGACACTACTGGGCGTGCGTGTGATGTCATGGCCGCAGATTAAAGGGTATATTCGCGGAAATGAGTTTGTGCACACGGTGGAGCAGTTTGACCCGGCAAAGATCAGTGAGGCGACGAGGAATAAGGTGAAGCAGAGGTACTTGTCAAACCCAAAGTTTACATACGCAGATGCGATGAATGGAAGTCAGGCACTTGGATATTTACAACAATGGGTGGTAGCACAGATGAGTACGGCTTCGGCAACAGAGAGTTTGACGGAATATGATATCGCACACTCTAAAGAGCGGGCGGCAATAAATGATATGGAAAATCAAATTGAGGCTTTTGAACAGACATTACGGGATTACAGTAATGAAGAGGGACGTCTGCGTACAATGCTGGGTGACCCTCCACTGGTAATATCAAATGATTATACAAACAGCAATAGTCAGAGCATGAATAATAATACTAGTCATAATTATAATGGTAATAATATCAATAACAGTAGTAATTATAATAATGGTATCCCCTCAGGTCACATAGACGTTAATGATATACAAGGGGATAATAAGAACAATAACAGCGTTAATGCTCATCCATCCGAAAATATAGAACGTGTTCATGGTACAAATGCTGTTTGGTCTTTTTCACAACAAACCATTGTTACCCTGCGTTCTTCTATTCTTTGCAATTATGATAAACCGGATAGTATGGTTCTCCGACTCACACCTGAACAGGTCCAACAAATTGAAGATGCCCTTAAAAGACGTGGCTCTAATTGGGATGAGGAGCAACTTGCAGAAGCAGAAAGACGAAAGAAATTACAAAAGGCATTGGAGGACCTCCGTGGGGATCATGCCCAAGCACTTAAACGATTAAATGAACTTGAAAGTGGAAATAATGACTTACAACAAGAACTGGATGATCGTAAGCGAGAATTGGATAAATTGAATCAATTCATTCTTGACAGTGGTGTATCCTTACAAACACCACGGAATTCCGCTGCCAACTCCTCACTCCGCTCAACACCAAGAGTAGGCGGTAAATCAGGTACTGTGCCTGTACCTAACATGGTTCCACCTCTACCAATTCCTTTAAATGCAACCTCTACACACAAAGGAGGAGAGGATATGATTTCACCAAAGTCTATATTGGAACCTCATGAAGATGCCGAGGCGAGAATAGAAGAATTGGAAAGACAGCTTACACGGGCATTACATGAAAACCCAACAGCGGCTCAGGTACAATTACTGGAAGATGATCTCCGTGCATTGCAAGAGGAACTACGGAATAAAAAGGAAGAACTGGATAACTTCCGCAATGCAAATGTACCTAACTACTACACCTCAACAGCACTTCGTATGGATCAGGAGAACTCACCAGAGGCACAATTGGCTGCAGCTCAACAGCAAATTGAGGAACCGGAGGCCGCCCTCGGTGAGGCATTAGAGAATGCTAAACAACAACAACAACAACTAACAGATGAAGATAAAATAAAGTTTGATGAACTTCAAGGACAAATCCAGAAATTGCAGAATGAACTGCAACAACAAATTCGGGATGCGGAGGCCGCTGCTGAACGCCTGAATGAGGAATTACATGCCCACAAGGATACACAACAGAAATTAAAGGATAAGGAAGAGGAACTAAAGGCTTTATGGGATAAACAAAACAACACCGAAGGGGAAACAGAAGCCACACGTGATGCCTTACGAGATAGCGCACAGCAAATAGAAAATTTACGAGATCAACTGCGAGCAAAGGAGGAAGAGGCAAAACGATTGGAGAAACGATTGGCCGCTGCTCGTCGTTTACAAGAAGAGGAACAGGAACAACAACAAAAAGCCCGTGAGGATCGGGCAGGGAAACTACACGATGTAGTGGAGATACTCACGCGGGAGGCCAATCGGCAGAAGAAAGAAGCAAGTTCTACCGCCTCGGTTATTGAAGAAGTACATAAACTTCTTGGGAAAAGTATAATTAGCTAGAAGGGATTAGCTCCATTTTTATATTTGTTTTTTTTTTTTCTTTTTTTTTCTTTTTTTTTTTATTGGATCGGATTCTTACCGTTACTGCATAGTTGACTATTTGTATCTTTTTTTTTTACGGTCTTTGTTTCTATCTTTTTTTCTCTGTCTGTCTTTCTCTTTCTCTCTCTCTCTCACTCTCTTTCTTTGTACGATTGTGTGTGAGAAGCACACTTGGGGAGAGAGAAAGAGAGAGAAATGTGTATTTCAGCAGCTCAGTTCTATTGTAAGTGTTTGTGTATGTTTTCTTTTTTTTCTTTTTCTTTCTTTTTGTGATGATTGTATATTGATTTATTTATTGGTCGAATAGGGTTTGTATAAACTTCTACTTTATACACCTTATTACCCATCTCTCACCCACCGATACTGGAGCATCTTGATTGATTCATTCTGTCCTTTTTTTTTATTTTTATTTTTCTTTTTTTTTCTTTTTCTTTGAGTTTACTTCTTTTCAATTTATTATTATTTGTAGTGTTTTGATGGTATTTGTATTGTTTGCATTTTTTGTTTTGTTTTTTTTTCTATCTGTGTGTGTAGCAGGTGAAAAGAAGTGAAAAAAAAAGAAAAAAAGAAAAAAAAAGAAGAAGAGAAAAAGAAAGAAAAATATCCCAATAGTGAGGTGTCTCTCTCTTTCTCTTTCTCTTTTTCTCTGTCTTTGTGTAGGCATGTGCGTTCATTAAAAACAGAAAAAAAAAAATAACAAAATAAAACAAAAAAGAATGAAGTGTATCAATTTGTTTTTTTGTGGGGTTTCTCCTTTTTTTTTTTTACTTTTACGCTTCTCTCATTGTAGACTCCTTTTTTAAAATTTTATTTTCCCATGTATTTCCTGCATTTCCACTCTATTTCTTTTCCACCACTTGACGTCTCTTTCACTCTTTATTATCTTTGTTTTTAATGTTTTTTTTTTCTTTTATTAGTATTATTAATATATATATATATATATATATATATATGTATGTGTGTGTGTGTGTTTGTGTTTCTTTTCTATTTTATTTCTTCATTTTTTTCCGATTTTCTCTTCATGTCAACTGTCGCTGTTTGTTTTAACGCCGAACAGCCGTCTGGACATGAGAAGAAAAGAGAAAGTGAGAGAAAAGCACGAGGATTGGGCGTTAATATGGTGAAAGAAACCTCCTATATATATATATGTTCTCTCTACATTGTAATTATATATTTATATATTTATTTATATTATACGCATGTATTTGTATATGTACATACAGTTGGATAGGACTAACATATACAAAGGCGAATAGAAATAAACAAGAGTGAAAGGAAAAAAGAAAAAAAAATAAAAAGAAAAAAAAACAGAGAACATATAAAAAGAAAACAAAAAGAAAAGTGAGTTTGGTCGATGGACATTACGCGTCCAATAAAGAAGGGGGAAAGAAAACGCCTTTCTTTATTTGAAAAATTTTTTTTTTACTTCCTCTTTACAAGAGTCTGTCTTCAATCCATGCAATATCACAAACGTACGTGAAGGTGCTCAGTACTAATAATTCTCTTGTTTCTNTTTTTTTACTTCCTCTTTACAAGAGTCTGTCTTCAATCCATGCAATATCACAAACGTACGTGAAGGTGCTCAGTACTAATAATTCTCTTGTTTCTGTTCTTTTTTCTGTTTTTTTTTTTTTTTTTTTTTTTTCGTTGTTGTTGTGGTGATTTCTTCCGTTTACTAATGTTTATTCTACTGTACTGTATGAAAACTTGTTTTTTTTTTATCTTTACTCTCTTGTTGTGTTTCCTTTGGAAACCTCATCCACACAATCACACAAATACACAAATAGCAGTATTATTATTATTATTATTATTATTATTATTATTATTATTATTATTATTATTATAACTACAACAAGAACTACTAGTACTACTATTGCCACTACAATAAAGGGACTACTCACGAATTATAATTACTTTCTACCAGTAGTACTAGCGCATACGCAGTTGTGTATATGAGCGCTCTTGACGAGGGGAATGTAGACCCTGGCATGTGTTTCTTTCGTCACTGCAGCAGTAGAAATAGCAGCAGCAGTAGTAACCTCCACCACAATCATCATAATGACCAGCAACTCGATAGTAGTAATGATTGCAGTAAAAACATGGAGGCCGTTCTTACATTGGATGATATTGAGGAGCTGACACGACGTCGGGATCAACTGCGCACAGATGTGGCTACCTCTCTCGTACGTATTGCTGAAATCCGGGCGTGGGTGGCTAACACCACCACTACCACTACCCTTGACAGTAATAATAATAATAATAATAATAGTAGTAGTAAAGATCACACTAGTAACAACAACAAGAACAACAACAGTAACAGGAATCATAACAGCAAGAAGAGCACCAGCAGCAGCAGTATGAACAATCCTCTTCAGGATCCCAGTAGGAGTGTATCGGCGGAAACCGTTTCTGCGGCCCGTGGACGTCTACGAGCGGCCCGAGCGGCGGTGTCTGCGGTTCCGTTAAGTGAATGGCGTTCCCTTCGCCGCCTGCGCCCATTGCCGCTTGCCGCTGCGGCCGTTGTGGACGCCGCCAGTTCTCTGCTGGGCGAGTCATTCCTCCTCCCATCCACCCAAGCAGCAGCCGCAGCCGCACCTCCATCATCTATCTCCACTACCACAACGGCAACGACTACGACTAATACAACTATTACGACTAATGCTGTTTCCTCGTCTTCTTCTTCTGCGCAGTCGAAGCTGCGTGGGGGAATGGGCTGGCGGGTGCGGCTGCTGCGGCTGGAGCCCGGCGACGTGGCGGAGGCGGCCGTCCATGCGGTCCGGCGCCGGCGGTTTGTGGCGGTGTGGCCGTACGACCGCGTCCGCCCCGTCCACGCGGCCCTCGGCCCCCTCCACCGCTGGATCACCGCCATGCTCGACACCCGCGAGGCCGAGCGCGGCGCCCCCCACCAATCCGCAGAGGAGGAGAATATAAATAGTGCAAATAGTGCAAATCACGAGAGGGAGGGGAATGCGGATCGGCATCCTCACACGGCGGCGGCGAGAGTGGGATCCGAGACGGCGGCACTCCTGCGGGAACTGGAGGAACATGCGGAGTATGTGCAGATGGCAAAGGATGAACTCGCCGCGATTGATGCCCTCCTCGCAGATGCCGTGCGGGAGGCGGAGAAGTGTGGAGTGGAGGTCGTCACGGCGTGTCCATCGCCCACCGTCTGCAGTGAAACCGCCGCCCCGTCCAGTGAGGCCTCACGCTCCATCCGCACAGAATGGGGAGAAACTATGCCAGCAACCAACACTACCAACATCAGTACCAGCGTAACAGGAAGAACTACCCCATCAGCCGCAACTCACACAGGAACCCCACGGATTCATCTCCAACAAAAACAAAAGCAGAGACAGAAAATAAAGGAAAAGGAAAAGAAACAGACTTTTAGACGGACGGAACCCTTATCACGACCTCAAACATCATCATCAGCATCAACAACAGCAAGAACAACAACAAGAACAAAAACTGGTACTATCCCCAATACTATGACGAATACTACTAATGAGAAGAGTGAAACGGTGATGACAGTGGTAGTGCCACCAATTGTACCTAAACTCGCTCTGCAGAGTTGTATCCCACAGACAAATGGACCAGCGACACCATCCCTACGGGCGAGACTCGAACAACTACGGACAAGTCCACGTATACGCAGTCCACGTCTGGGCCGTGCTATTCATCCCTCATGCGCTCACTCCACTACTAGTAATGGTGGTGGTGGTGGTAGAACTCACAGTCAAAATGCACATCATACCACTGATTCCAATATCAACGACAATACCACCAATATCAATAATACTAATAGCACTGCAGGTGATTCTCATATGCTTTACACAGGTGCTGAAGTACTGCAGGAACGTGCGGATTTACTACAACGTGTACATGAGCTGGAAGATAGACTAAAGGAGGCCTACCAGCGCAACCCGCGTGAGGCGGAGTTTCAATTAATGCGGGATGAGATGAATGCGGCACGTGATGAAATTGCAGCACTGCGGGCGGAGCGTAGTCAACTATTAGAGAAGGCTAAACGCTACTCCTTGTACAGATTTCCCACGACATTAAATGTAGATTCAGATGCTGCTACTACTTCTGTTCCTAATTCTACTTCTGCTGGTACTACTACCACTACTACTACTGGTAGTGGTAATAGTGAAAATATTGGTTTGATGTCGGTAAGGATACGAGAACTAGAGGAACAGTTACATGCGGCACATGCACATATTTATCAGCTAGAAGCACAGAGTGCACTGAGTGCACTTCGTGCCTTAGAAAACCCCTCCTCCCTCTCTTCTTCCTTCGAAACAGGAGTGGAAGGAGGAGGAGGGGAAAGGGTATCTAAGGAGAAGAATGGGATAAACCCTGCGACAATTCCTACTCTTACTGGTTCTAATAACAGTAAAGATCACAATAATAATAATAATAATAATAATAATAATAATAATAATGGTAATAATAGCCATATTATTACTACTAATAGCCCCACTACTGCCACTACGACTACTACTACGATCGCTGAAAAACGTGGTGAGGGTAATTCCAATAGTAATAATAATGGTAGGAATACTCGTTCTGGTGATATGATACTGCAGAAACAATTGAATGCGGCACTCCAACAGGCAGAAACACACCGGACTGCATTAGCTGCAACGGAGGAACGTCTCAATCAAGAAATACATGCCCACCGTGCCTCAGAGGAAAAGCAACAATTACTACAGGCGGAACTTACAAGTGTATGGAAGCGATTAGAGAATACAGAATATCAACTGAAGTTAATACTAGAAGAACGTGGGGAGGATGTTTTATTTAATGGAGAACCCTATTCCTCTGCGATGGCTCTTCTTTCTGGTTCTGGTAATGGTGGAATGCATAGTGGTACGGGTAATGGATCTCTTAAAGGTATGGCAGCACTGCGGCGTGAATTGCAACAAGCTCGTCTTCGTGAGATGGAGCAACAACAAGAGTTGGAGCGACTCCGCATAGAACTTGGCACTCTGCAGAGAAGATATATGGAACATCAACAACAACAAAAACAAGTACGGGCTGCAAGGGCGGAAATGCTGCGGCGATTGGAGAAGACCTTCGCGGAGGCACTGCGACGACAGGAATGTGAACTAGAGGCTATTCCAAATGCACTTCAACGGGCACGAAGTGAGATTGAGCGGATTAGTGCACAACGACGTTAACAAAAAAAAAAATAATAATAAAGGAAGAAAAAAAAACCCATATATATATATATATATATATATATATTTATTTATTGAAATTTGTTTATTTATTCATCGTTACAATTTTTTTTTGTTTTTTTTTCGTTTTACCTTCCCTTAGTATTATCTGTGCTATTGTGCTACACATTTAGATGTGATGTACACTGAATACCTGTATGTATATATATAGGTATACGAGGTCATCCATTTATGTGTATACGCCTACAAAAAAGAAAAAGAAAAAAAGAAAACGAAAAGAGAAAAAAAACAGTATTTCTTCCAACTATTATATCTGTATGTGTGTGGGTGTATGTGCCTAGACATCCATGTATATAAATAAATATATATATGCGTCTGAGTTTTTTTTTTTCTTTTGTAGAGTCTGAGAAAGGGAATAGGAGAGGGAGGGGGAGAGATGGTAATGGTAATAAACAGATAAAGAATAACAGAAACACAAGCTCACAGAAAAAAAAAAAAAAACGAAAAGTAATGGAAAAAAAAATATGTGAAAGAAAGAATAAAGATGAATCGTGCGAATGTATAGTTTCAGAGAAAAGGCATAAAGTAAGATTCGCTTTTCAACATTTTTTTTTTTGTTTTTTTTTTTTTAATTTAGAGAGAGAGGGAGAGAGTATCTATTTTCTTTCTTTACCAGAGGGAGTTAGTAGTGATTGGGTTTTCAATAGATAAGAGTCTTGTTATCACCGCTACTTCTGTATCTTGTCTTATTATTATTATTATTATTATTATTATTATT